TGAGGCGTCGTACATGTATATTTACGTATACCGCGAGTGTGCAAAGCTCGCGTTGGCCACTAACCCAGCTGCCGGACATACGGAACAACGCAGCGTCATCGTTAACTATTTCATTAATAAGATGACGGGTGTTAGCGAGCAAGCCCGACGTACACGGGAGTATCGCATGCACCGTGTTGCATTACGCCTTCGATATCTTTCGCTCTATGTCGAATGGGAGGTGCTTTCAGGAGCTAGGTTTCACAGCGACACAACTCGGCACTGCAGGGAACGCCGAATGGGAGTTATTCGTTACCGAAGCCTTCAGCGAACAGGCAGCGCAACGCATGACTAAGTTGCTAACACTTACCAGCGAAAGGCGCATTCCGGCAATAATATCTATAATAATTCAAAGGAAGATTGAATGATTTAAATTACTATCAAATATAATAATAAAGGATCTTGTGGTTCTATTTTAATATTATTATATTTGATTCTTTAAATAATAATAAAACCATCTTCTGGCTCTTATAATTATTAATAATTATAATAGTATCAATTCAAAAAAGCATTTACAAATGATTAATTCCATCAAAAGATGTCTAGAAGCACATGCGCTCGATATTAAAAGTCTTTCAAGTCTTAGAGATCTAGTCTTTTGTTTAATACCTGAATGTTGTCATTATTTACATATATCATTAAAAATATAAGTATACTTTAACGTATTAGGTAATTTTTGTTTGTTTGTTAGATCACATGTCATCGAGAATAACTATTCGAGATGAATTTTTCTTATCAAAAATTCAACTTTGAAACCTGAAAAAATGAACCGTGAACAATACCAAGGTCCTAGTGCACCACAACAAAAATCAACTCAACAAATGCATTATTTATGTGCTGGTACTTTGAAATTGACAACTTTTGGAATTTGTTTGTTTTCGCCGGTCATTAAATTATTGATTTCAAATAAATTTGTATACCTGTGCAGATTGTGGGGTTGAAAATGAGATTAAACCAAAGGAACCGCTCCGATGCAAGGAATGCGGGCACCGTATAATGTATAAGATGAGGACCAAGAGAAGTAATTTTTGTGATTTTACACTCCTTGCTTATTATATTACGTATATCAATTAACACTTTTTTTTGGTTGTGTTGGCAATTAATAAAAGTGGTTCAATTCGAAGCACGATAATCCCCTCTTTCTACAGTCCCCGGCGAAAGTAATGGCGCGAAGATTCGAATCACCTTATTTGGCCATAATGCCATAAATCGTTCATTTATAATGTATATTTGTTATTAAATCGCGTAAATAGATGCTAATAATAAAAAGTAAATTTATTGCTTTTTGTTTATTTTACCTTGTAAAATGTCTTCGAATCCTATTAAAGCCAACCGTAATGCCGTTAACTTTCTTTGGCAGCAAAAATATTTGCACTCCGAAAGAAATTTCGAATAGAACTGGAATCCCATTACGTACATGTCAACGATATGTCGGTATACTAAAAAAAAATGGAAAAATTCCAGAAATTCGCCAGTCAGGTCGTCCACGAAAATTATCACCGGAAAAATGGCGCCAGCTTGGAATGATCATCAAGAGCAACCATTATAGAACTACCACCAAAATGAAGACTATTCTAGAAGAAAAGTACCAAGATCTCAAAGTTAGTCAGAGGACCATCCATCATGAGCTTTCCAACTTTGATTATATCGCTACTCTTCACCGAAAAGTTCCCCTTCTAACAGAACAAGCGAAGATTAACCGCTTGATATGGACACAAGACCATATGCGTTACAACTGGAAGAAAGTTATTTTTTCTGATGAAACAACTATTCAGTTATTTCGCAATATGATGCTGGCATGGTCTCGTGAAAAAAAACCTGTCCAGCCTATGGTAAAACACCCCCTTAAAGTTCATGTTTGGGGTGCTATAAATTTTAAGAGAAAGGTCAGTATTCATATCTTTACTGAAAACCTTGACCACCACTTATATCATAAAATTTTAAACGAACAACTTTATGATAATGCTGATGCATTAATAGGTGGCTGGTGGGTTTTTCAGCAGGATAATGACCCCAAACATACGTCTAGGGATGTCTAGAATGACCTAAATACTCGCCTTCCAAAATGTATTCTCGCTTGGCCTTCGTATAGCCCAGATCTCAACCCTATCAAGAATATCTGGGCTATCCTGAAGCATAATGTCAAGAAACATGTTAAAAAAATGATAGCAGAAAAGAAAAAGATAAATTTATTAGTATTATTAGGGAGGAATGAGGAAATCGAAAAAAATGCTATAGTTAATAGTATCAGTAGTATGCAAGATCGGATTCAAGCATGCATTGATGCCGAAGGAGCCCATACTAAGTACTAACATCATAATAAAGATTATAGCCATACTATTTGGCTTTAAAAATTATTTGAATTTTTTAAAAAACAAATATCTTCATCTTTTAAATCTAAACACATATTTATTCTATGTTCAGTAAATAGAAAATTATCTTTATATTGTGTTATCTCAATAGAATCTTTTGTAATATTAATATAATTTTTTAATTCTGAATTAGAATTTAATGGATTTTCTAAAATATCATTATATAATAATTTATCTTTCATAATAATATCAAAATTACTATTTAGATTTATTATACATCAAAATTCTAAAAATACCTATTCAATTAATTGGCCAGCAAAGTAAATATATTACTTAAAAATAAAATATATTACTTAAAAGTAAATATACTACTTTACTGATTTTTGATATTAAGACTTTTTTTATTTTTTTTATCAAAGATCATAATATATTTCATATACATATGAAAGCTCTTAACCATACATATAATCA